GATTTTTGAAAATCCTACGTGATTTGTGATTAGATCAAGATAAACTTATTCCAAAACCCAATAAATTCAAAACACTCAACCTAAAATCATCAAACACTTACGAGAGTGATTTTAGTTTGTTTGTTTTTGAGAATAAACAATAAATTGACACAAACGATTTTTTACGTGGAAAAAACCACAATTGAAGAACCTTCAATTGTAATCAAAAACCACGGGCGAAACGCCACTATCAATCCACTACTGAAGAACAAAAAGATTACAAAGATACAATACAAATTACCCAACCCAGTCAATTTGTCTCTGAATCTTCTGTAATTCTTTTCACCACACCTTCGTCACGGAATTGATCCTGAAGTTGATTCCACACCACAACTCCACTTTGTCGAATTAACGACTACATAGAATCAAACGCCTTTTGAATTCTACGCTTTAATCTTCGGAATCCACTGAAGAGAACTTTCTTGTACCTTAAGAAGCAACCTCCTTGATGTATGAATCTCAATGCATAAGTTCAGAACTCTCTCAAGAATATCAAGGAAAACTATCAAAAATCTCCAAAGAAAACTTTAAACACAACCCTAGTTTGTTTAGATCAGATCTGAGAAAACGTATCTCACAAAAACACCTTTAACAGCTTTAAATAGAAATTTGGATCCGCGATCTCCGCTCGAGCTCACAACAGCCCGCTCGAGCGGACTGACCAAAAACGGCGTATGAATAAGCTGAGATGCGCTCGAGCGTATGATGATCCGCTCGAGCGGAAAATCGCACCCACCAGTATCTGTGCTTGCCCTGTCAAAATACTGAGACCTGCTAATCTACGCTCGAGCTCAAAAGCCTCCGCTCGAGCGGACAGTACAAAAACACAAAAAAAATACTTTTGAATCAACACAAGGTTTTGTCTCCGGATTTGACAACATAGGGACCTAACAAAGTCTAACTTACATATATATTATGGGAAATATTACATCAGTGTAATTTTATAAAATAATTACAAATTAATAAGAAATTTTATAAATATTAATGATTAAAACTGTAAACTTTATTATTAATTTATAATTTTTTTCTCCAAAATTCTATTGGATTGCAATTACCCCTATATATTAGGATCAAACCGACCCATTTTTCGAGTGTGGACCAGGTTGGGAGAAAACCAGTTAAACCGGGGCCGGGTCGAACCGGCCCATCCCATGGACCCAGAAAATGCATTTGTAGTCGGCAGCAGGTGACCACACTTGTTATACTTAAACGTAAGTAGAAACGTGGAGGCTTATGATTGGTCCATTAAGAGCTAATCACAACCAACATGTCACACGATCACTTCTCCATCTGTCTTCTTCACCCTCATCTTCTCTTCTCTCTGCACCCTCCTCATCATCGTGTGCTCTACTACTATTCCAGGAGGACAAAGACGACGATGATGGTGATGATCAGAGACGAAGAAGAAGAAGAAGAGTTTCAAGTCTGGAAGCCCTAGACCAACCGTACACTTTCACGGATATTGGTTTTAGACCTAACTCTGAGATCGAGATGGTGAAGAAGCGAGTCCCCGATTGGCTCAACAGCTCTCTCTGGTCCACCACTCCTCCTCCTCCTCCTTCTCATCCACCGCCTCTCGACTCCGATGACGCCGCCAAATCTACCTCCGTCGCTGCTTCGCCTTCGTCATCCAAATCTGCTGCGGCGGAGTCTAAGGTACGGGCGCCGGTGCCCGTGCCGCCTCCGTCTGCTGTGAGACCGGAGCCTCCGAAGGTGGAAATCAGGGATCCGTTGACGGATCATAGTGATAATGGCAGCACTGGGAGTCCTTCGGCTGAGGACTTTTCTCGCCAAGCTCAGCTTTTACAAGAGGTTATCATCTCTCTCTCTCTCGCTACATAAATACATACACATCTACATATTATTATTGTGTTTTTTTTTTTTTTTTTTGTGTATGTAGTCTCTCTGATTATCATTTTTTTCCTCAATCGAATTTGTACTTCTCATTTAATTTTATGTTCTACTTTGTTCATTACTGCCTGTATTCTTCAATTGAGGCTACTTAACTAAGATTAGGGTATCTCTGTGTGTGTGTGTGTAATTTTAGGGTTTTGGTCAATCCATTTCTGCTTCTTTTCTTCAATTTAGTATAATTAGGCCTCTGTGTGTGTGTGGTTTATGATGAATTGTTTATTGTTTCTGCTGAATTTAGGTTTTTGGTCATTGCTGCTTCTTTTCTTCAATTTAGAATAAATTAGGCCTCTGTGTGTGTGTATTTGGTTTATGATGAATTGTTTATTTTTTCTGCTGAATTTAGGTTTTTGGTCATTCCATTGCTGCTTCTTTTCTTCAATTTAGGCCTCTGTGTGTGTGTGTGTTTGGTTTATGATGAATTGTTTATTGTTTCTGTTGAGTTTAGCTTTCAAGGAAGGTTGTAAACATGGGTGAATTACGGAGACTTGCATCACAGGGTGTGCCAGATGGTGCTGGCATTCGTTCTACCGTGTGGAAGGTTAGTAGTTGTAAATCAAATTTTCTGCGAATTTAATTGTCTTTTGAGTGGAAATTGTGTATAGGAAATATTGCTGCAAAGTTCAGCTTAGATTAAAATAGAATGAGTTTACTTCATTGTGATATAATAAAAAAAAAATCTTTTGATTTTAAAATATGTGGTGTTGAATTTTCACTTTTGTATTATTTAATGTGAATGAGCAGCTGTTATTGGGGTATTTGCCGACTGATCGAGGGTTTTGGTCATCAGAATTAGCTAAGAAGAGGATTCAATACAAGCAATTTAAAGATGAGCTTCTTATGAATCCTGTAAGTCGCACTTGATATTTTCATGCCTCCATGAAAAATTATATCAAGTTATGGATATTGAAAGAGACAAACATTAAAATAGGCTTTATATCCCCACACACTCTAATTGACATTTTCATCATGTTGGGATCCTGTGGACATCTGTAACTTACTGCATAATTCAACAGTATCATACATGGAATTTGGGTTGTCCTCAACCTTCTTTTATTCAGTGGGATGATAACTTTAATCAGATCAAGGAGTCTCATGTATGATGCAACTTTGGTACTTCTATTAATTGAATGAGATTTTTGGGGTTATTAATTCACCATGGGATAGAGTTTATTTAGTTTTGGTACATTATCTTGGTAATGGTGCAACTACAAAGCTATGTAATTTACTAATTTATGCACAAATGCATGAGTTGCCCATATTTGTTCCTTTTCTTGAAGTCCACCATTAAGAGTAGGAGACTCTTGTATGCATGAACTTGATCTGGATGATCTGAGGTCCTGAACCAAAGTTTACACGAGCATCAAATCCTGACTTTTGTTCATAACTGTAACCAAAAAATTCATTTCCTTTTTGTTTTATGGCCCAATTGGTACAATTCAACTGTTTTTACTTCTCATCCTCTCCATGTATTACATGAGCACATCTCTTTTTGTGAATAACATAGCCTCCACAGCTCATGTTTTCCTTCAATGGTAAGTGGTAAGTTAAGATTAAAATACTGAAATAGCTAACACTCAGTGCATCTGGGAACTATGTTTTGTGTTTGTTTTCAATGTTGCATCTGTTTGTGTTTTTATTTGTAAAAGATTGGATTTCTGAATGTTTCTTTGCTAGGCAGTCAGAAATCGCAAGGAGGTTGGAAGACACCACAAGCTGTGAAAATGAGGAATCAAACTGTGAAACCGGTGGTGTACTCCCAAGATCAGAGATAACTCATGGAGAGCACCCTTTGAGTCTTGGGAAGACTAGCATATGGAATCAGTTCTTCCAGGTATCAATTGAAGTGAGATTTTTTATGTTTTAAATGAAATCTCTGAAATTTTTCATGTTAATCATTTTGAATGCATGCTTTCTAAACTAGTTGTTGCATGCCATACTTGTACACATATCAGATGAGCACCTTTGTATCACAAAATTCATTCAAACTTATAAGCTGGTTCTGGTAAAGTATACTGTCACATGTCGATGAGCTTCATCTGATTTTGGTGCATTATGTCAAAATGTAGCCCGTCTTACCCACTGCGTAGTATATCTTGTTTGTAACTTGTGGGAATTTTCAAATAAGAGCAAGTCTTTTCACCTTATGCTGTTCTACAGAGATAGTGCTAATACGAGGTGCATGTACTGCATTTTGAGTTATTATGCATAATTTGACTCCACCATCATCAATTCTGTAGGACACAGAGATCATAGAGCAAATTGACCGAGATGTAAAGCGTACTCACCCAGACATGAACTTTTTCTCAGGGGACACACAGTTTGCAAAATCCAATCAGGTGAGCTTGTCTTATTGGATAAAAGATTTGATGTAAACATGAGCGTTTTGACTAAGGTGAATATGTCTCATTCTTTCAGGATGCTCTGAGGAACATATTAATTATATTTGCCAAGTTGAATCCGGGTATAAGATATGTGCAAGGGATGAATGAAATTCTGGCACCTTTATTCTATGTGTTTAGAAATGACCCTAATGAGGAATATGCGGTAAGAAAATGTGTCTTGCATGTTATCTTTAATTTGAACTATTGTATGTCGTTTTTATGCTTTTTCTTGATAAAGACTAGAGGGTTGTGCCTTATTTTGTGAGTTGAGTCTTTCATGGCAACATAAAATAGTCTAGAGCTGCAATAGCTGTTGGTTGGTGATGAACTTTTTTGACCGACTGACCGACCCAAGCAGTCACAGAAGGTTTTGTGCAACTGGGCAGTCTAAATCAGGTGTTAGGCACTCAAAATCTTTGGTGGTCAGTCAGTCTTGGATTTTAAACAACTAGTTGAATCTGAACCAATCAAATATTACTCATAGAAATAAACACACATGTGATAGGGTAATAGATGCCACGTTTCCCTCTTGACTCCTTCCATGCATGTTGTTGGAGTATCCCAACCCAAGAATAGGGCTGACTACAATCTTCTTCTGATCTGAGCCGTTGGGTGGTGGGCATGGGTGCTAGATGAGTGACAAGTGTCCTCTTTTGGTCAAAGCCATCACACAACATAGGTACTATTGGAGAAGTTTGAAATATAGCTGTTGGATGAGAAGTTTGTGGAGGCTTCTCCTAATCTGGATGAAGGCCGTGTGTCTAACTCCTTATATAATATATGTAATATATTATAAATAGGTTGCTTTCCTTGAAAATAAGGATGACATCAATCATGGGATTTGATCCCCCATGATTATCCCTATCTCTAGAATCAAGGAAACCAACTGCCACCATTCTTTATGCTAATGTGACCCACTTTGAGTCACCACCATGCCACGTGGCACCTCTTGGTTTGGCTCTACCTTCTAGAAAAATACCTTAGAGGTAGCTTTACCAAACTTTCCAAATCTAAAAAATTCACTAAAGCTACCATGCAACATTCGGTTGGGTTGTCATTTTTGCTTATCCACAACTTCTTGGGGTCTAACAAGGATCCTTGTCTAGCACTCCTATTACAGGAGGTCTTCGTTCAGACTTAGGGGGCATCCTCCTTGAAGAATACTAGAAGGAAGAGATGGCTTTGCCAACGGGCAGACAAGTGAGCAAAGGCCCATCAACAATGCTCAAGGTCAGCCAATTTGGAGGTACACTCCGTTGTTCAATCCTTCTATGGTTGACTTAGGGGGGTAAAATCAGTTTTCCCAACACCAATTTCATCGACATCCACTAGCTCCTCTTTTCACAACTTCCTTGGCTTTCTAGTAGACACCACCAATCTATAGCCCAGTCCTAGTAGGAAGGCAAGGAGCAGAACGCAGAGGGCATCCTCCTCACAGGCCGTCAGAAGGCAGAAATGGCCTTACCAAAGATCCTTACCCTACAACCAAGCAGAGGATATCGAGCCTTGAGTCAACTCGGAAATCAAGTTAGAAGTCAAGCTTGAGGTAAGCCGAAATATAGATCAGAAGATCTAACAAAAATTTTCTCTAAAAAGTGCACAATGGGGGCAAAATGAAGTTGGGGAAATTGGATGATATTTCGGTTAGGGGACGTCAAATTTCTTCTTATGTCATAGAAGGTGATAAGCAACCTTCTCCTCCTCCATTTGATGAAGACCTTTTCAGCAATTCTCCAAAAGCTGAAAAACATTACATGTGTTTGTCAACTCTTGGCTTAGTATATCAAAACTTACACTCACATTGGGTTAGTGGGGCACATCAGAAGATAATACTATTCACATGACTTACACAAAAACAAGAAGGTGATTGCTAGAAGTTTCAAGTCACATGTAGTGTTTCATAGGCCGAATAAACATTTCCATTCTCAAAAAATGATTCATCAAAAAATTCAAAGGAGGTGATAAAGGAAGCGAAGAGTATAAATCAAGTAAGAAAGTTTGGCCTGTAATAAATTCGGCTTTTCAAAAGAAAATTGCAAGTTGTCTCATGCTTGAGGAGCCAAATCAAAGTTTTGGCCTTTCAGAATGTCTGAGAAGGCCAAACATCAATTTCAAGCTAAACAAGTACTTCAGGCCTTAAGGTGTAGGAGGCCTTTCACCCAAGTGTTTTGGCCTTTCAGAATGTTTGAAAAGGCCTAATGGCATTGTCAAGCTTGACCAACATCTTAAGCCTTCTAGCACATTGAACAAGGTTCCTTTATAGTATGCCAGAAGTTTCATACAGTAGAACTACCTATCTACTTCAACCTTCTCTTGTAAGAAACTCACCCTAGCCTAGTAGAGGGAAATGAGGTCAGAACAGAGGAGTTCACATGCTAGTTCATGAATCATGACTGCTTGAGCTTTGTTTTAAAGTCTCTTGGTGTATACTTAAGAGGCATTCAGAATTCAGAAGGTCTTGATGAAGGCCTATCAAGTCTGCAAGAATTAATTTAAAAGGTCTGATAAGGATTCCGAAGGTCACAATGAAGTCTCATCAAGTCTCCAGAAGGTAATCCAGAAGGCCTGATACATCTGCAAGAGTGGATCCAGAAGGTCAAATAAGGATGAAGAAGTACTTGTCAGGTTTCACTTTTGGAGGTCTTAATGAAAGCCTATCAGAATGACTCCAAAAATGGCAATCAGTAAAACATCTCCTCTGAATTGAGCATAATAGAGGAAACATTTGAGGGGGGCATTGTTTGGACTGAAGATGAAAACCCAACTAGATGATGCCACACGGTGATGGTTATGAAATAAATGGATGTGTATGGTAGCTTTAGTGAATTTTTTAAATTTGGAAAGTTTGATAAAGCTACCTCTTGATGGTATTTTTCAGAAGGCATAGCCAAATCAGAAAGTGTCACGTGGCATGGTGGTGACTCAAAGTGGGTCACTTTAGGATGAAGATTAGTGATAGTTGGTTTCCTTGATTCTAGAGATGGGGATAATCATGGGAGATCAAATCCTATGATTGATGTGACCCCTATTTTCCAGGGAAGCAACCTATTTATAATATTATATATGTGTGTGTGTGTGTGTGTACATGTGTTAAATAGATGCTGTAGGAGTTGAACACATGGCCTTCATCTAGATTAGGTGTAGCCTCCACTAACTTATCATCCAACGAGTATATTTCATTCTTTTCCAACAGTACCTATATTTGCAGGATGGCTTTGACCAAAGGAGGACACTTGTCAATCATTTAGCATCCATGTCCACCACCCAAAGGTTCACATCAGAAGGAGATTGTAGTCACAACCCTATTCTTGGGAATACTCCAACAACATGCATGGAAGGAGTAAAGTGGGACACAGTGCATCTCTGGAGGCATTTTAGCACCCCACCAACTAGAAGTGGTGGAGATATTTCAAAAGGTTGTTCCTATTTTCAGGAGGTCGGCTAGGATTTTCAAGAGGTTTCAGAAGCTATAAAGGGCCACTTCCAAGTGCAAACACACACACACACCCATTCAATCAACCAACTCAAGCAAATGCTACTCAAAAACTGACATCCGTGTCAACTTAGCAATTAGTCTAGCCTAGTTTATCATCATAAAAAGGCATCTTTGTCATAGCTTAGCGTAGTGAACTTCGTTAATCTTGACATCCATGTCAATTATTTGTGTTTTGGCCATCGTTGGCATTTTGTTTTGTTTAAATTGTGCTTACAATCATTTGTAACTCAATTTGGTTTTATTCAAACTTGTTCTTGTTTTTTTTTGGTATGTTCAATCCATTTGGATATATAAAAGTTGGCATTTTCTTGTTTGTTATTTCACTTTACCAATCCTACTTCTTGACTAAAAACTCTTAGGAGATTTGAAGTCCTCTTAGTTGAGGCAAGAAAAGGACCAGAAGCTTTTGTCCCCTTGGGACTTACACGATCTGCTGTTCAAAAGTCAGATTCATCTTCACATAGGCAACACTTTGCCTTGGCACGCCCCCAATCAACAACCTTCTGTGTTAGCCATTTTTGTGCAAACATATATCTAAGAGCAACTCACCAGCAATCCATCCCTCTTTGATTTGGAACTTTATAATAACTTGCTCGGTATATTTACCCCAACAAGAGTCTTATGTTCACATTTATATATCATTGATATACATTAGTGATAAGGTGTATATCTGTGCCATCAATTTGAAAAGCATTGCTAGTTGCACTAGTGTGTTTGCGGTCATAATTATTTCTTGTCTTTTCATGGCCTTCATCAGAATTTATTTAACACATATTAGCTTATTCTTTTGGATTGATCTGTCTTAAATTTCATCTTTTTATTTTTCTTGAGAAATGAGAAATATTGACGGATGAATCCTTAGCCCAAGAGAAAGACATACCAACCAAATAAGATGTAATTTGGCCCCTAGCCCGAAAATTGACTCCTCTAATGACACAGGGACATCGAATTCTTGTCATCTTCATGTATTCACTTCTCATTGTCTAAGTAGAAAAAGCTCCACAAGCTCCCCTTATGGATGTTCAAGTACAGGTGTTAAAAAAAGAGTCACAAATATAGAAACGGTATTTTTGGCATCTACGATATGTTCTCTAGTTCAAAATTTGTTGCTAAAAGATCACGCATGAATGATGCATGGTCATAAAATCTTGTTTTCACAAAATATTGCGGGTGGGTACTAAGGGGTGTAAATATTTGTACCAGTCAATAGCTATTCCATGTTTAGTGTGCTGACTGCAGCCCAAGCACTGATAGAAATGTATTGCTTATTAATGTTAGGTTTTTAAATAATTATGTGATTACAATCTGGCCCCCCAAAACTTTGCTATTGTGTGCACTAACAACTTCAGTGGATTAGTGTTCAACGCTCAAGGTACATCCATTCGTTACTTCTGATAACAAAAGCGACAATTGTTTTGGTAAAGAAATCAAAACCTACAAGTATGTTACCTCCATAGCTATTTATGATAGTCTAAGAAGTATAGACACTACAAAATGGATGTTATGTTTGTGTCCGACATGTGTTAGATATCTACATTGCGCAGGCACGTGCCATGTGTCAAGCACACCACGTGTTATGTTAATTTTAAATTAATTATTAATTTTTTTGCAAGACAGGTTGGGACACTTCATGGGCACATGTGTATTGTGTTGGACATGCCTCGTGA